TGAAAGCAGGACCTGTTTTTAACATGCTTTCTAAGGCAAAGAGTTCTGTAACACAGCAATTTATAACTATTTTCCAAATAATTTACTATTTTGAAACACAGACGTTAAACAAGTTCTTCTGATGTCAATTATTATGTAGTTAGATTCCTCTTGTTGTGTTTACAACATTTCTATAATGTCTGACAAAATATGGAATGATGTTAGCATACAGAGGAATAGGGAATACATTTTCAGATGAAACCTTACACATATTCCAGAAAAAAATCCATGGAAATCAAAAGGAAATCTTTCTGGGAATACTGTATAAGTACATACTTTCCTTTTATGCAGTTTTAGTATGGTGGAAATAAAGAAGTGTAATATATGAAATTAGTTTAAAGGCTTAGAAAAAAATTAAAGTGAAATAACATACATGTTATTAATGAATAACTATAGAAAAAGCTGTATAATTACGTGTTAATTAAATTCTCTCCTTATTGTATCTGCAATACCTCAAAATTACATTTCCTTTCTGTGTATTCTTCTAGCAAAATATCCTTTCTTATCTGGTTATTTAGGACTTTTTAATTTTTCTGTTCTCAAAGTACAAGCTTCTTCTTGCATTTGCAGCTTTTCACTTATCTCTGCCTCAAGGTTGGCAATAATTTAATTTGGGATTCCACCCACTGCAGACTTCTGATCTTCAACAGTGAAAGCAGCCACAGCACCTGCCTCAAGGGGCTCTGCCTCTGGACAGGGTTCTTCCAGGTGACCTCGATCAGATCCCTTGGGTTCCATCTCTGGAGCTATTGGCAATAGTATCAGTGATGCACAGCTCTCTGAAGGCACACCTTCTTCCAGTAAAGGAGGGAAGGGGGTAACTGCAGGTGGGGCAAGTTCGATCACACACTTATTGCTTATCACAAATTCTCTAGGACTGTGGAAGAGATGTTCATACAATTTATAGGGTTTAAATAAGCTGATACTCAAGTAATCAGTGATTGCTTTGGCTTGCTCCGTGCTGAAGACATCCATGTCACCACTTCTTTCTGAATCAGTTTCTCCTATTCCAGCCATTGCTTTTCCAAGGTCCTTTATTTTATCTCCTACAGTCATATATTTGTCATGGAAATTCTCCAACAGGAAATTCAGTAGAATCCTGAGAGCTGCACAAGACTGAAGTTCCTTTCTTTAGCCCACCAAAGTCTGGCAGTATAATAATCTAAGGAAATATCTTCCTTCAAGGATGTCTTTAATTGTTTAAAATTCAGGAATTCCTCCAGCCTTTTTTGAATTCTTTCTACATTTTCTTCTGACAAAGCAGTATTTGGGAAGGAGAAAGAAATGTCTGATGAATAATCTTCCAGCCACCTCCTGCATCCTGATCCTGGTCTTCTGCCCCGGTGGGCTGCCAGCCTCCACCTCCCTCATGGTGCCTGGGCTTGGCGTCACCAGGGAATGGGGCAGGCCCCAAATCTCCTCCTGTGTGGCCCTGGGGCCTGTTCTCACCCTGCTGGGCACCTCGTAGTCATAACCTCAGTGGGGCCACATCCCCCCTGGCTGCTGCCTCCCCCACTTTCTCCCCCACTTGTTCCTACATCTTTACATCGCATACAGCTGAGGCCTGTTGAGGGGACCCCTTGTTCTTGCAAAAACTTCTATAGTATCTTTATCTTAAACAGCTCATACCTTACACCCCTTTTTATTATCAGTTGCGTTAATAATTTCACTCCAGCCTCTTCTGCTGCTGCAAGCTCAGCTCCCATGGTGAGCGCCCAGCCACTCACCTGCCCTTCAGGCCATGTCCTGGGGTCAAAGCTGGGGTCTGGCTGTGAGCTTCATGCAGCTGGGTGCCCTCTGGGTGCTCGTGCAATCCTGCTCTGCCCCAGTCACACCGGGGGCACCATGTGAAGGGATTGAGGCCCCCAGTTTGCTGCGGAACCGGAGCCCCCCAGCGTCGGGCACTGCCGAGCAGCTGGGCCAGCTGCAGCACGCCAGCAGCTCCAGCTGATCGCTGGTCACCCAGGGGTAACCCGGTGGGGCCACTGGGGAGCAACTGCGGGCTGGGTGCTGTGCTCAGGGGGTTGTGTGGGGTGGGTCTGCATCACCCACACGACCGTGACTCCGTGTTCCATGACTGCGTAGACCATCAGTGTATCAGCCACACGCCATTTGGTCACACTTCAAGCCTCTCTGTCTGTCTGTCCCCAAAGGTTCAGCCCAGCTGTCCTGCTCTAACTGTGATGCCTCCGGAGCGTTCTCTCAGCGTGCCCGGGCTTGTCTCCTACGTGGTCAGCGTGGTCAACTTCACCTCTCTCCAGCAGATGCCAGCACCGGCCTTCATCACTGTGTCTTGTGCTCTCACCGGCCAAAGGGCAGCGGTAGCAGTGAGAGCAATCAGCAGGGACTGTGCGCCCGGTGAGCACCGTTAGGGGAAGGGAAGCTTCTCCTGGGAAGCTGGTGCAAGCCGGGAGCTGCCCGTGTGTGGCACTCACCCTGTCCTTCACACCGCAGGTCAGTGCAGAGACGTGGGAATTCATCACCAGCTAGCGAGCTCTTACCACGTCCTTCTCTTCACTCTCTTTGCTGTTTCAGCACTGACAGCTGCTATGTTCCTTGGTAAGTGATTTGTAACTCGAGAGGTCACACCTAGATGAAGCAGAGATGTGTGCTTCCCTCACTGTGATTTTAGGGCCAGTTCCACGTCCCTGCCTTTCACAGCACAGCACTCTTCAGGAGCTTTAGGAAACTGAAGTCATTCTAGAAAAGATGCGACTGCAATTGTTTCTCTTGAGCAGTCCTCCCTTCAGTCACTGGGGATCTGAACCTCAACCAGAGGCAGGAGGCAACAAGGAAGGAAACCTTCCACTTGTGACTGCAGCCCCTGCAGCTGCAGGCAGCATAACATGGTAGAATCCAGGAGGATGGGGGGGAAGCAGCACTTTGAGGAAGAGCTGCCAGAATTGTGGGAAAATTGCATGTCCTCGAGGGGGCTCAGAATCTAACCAGGGTGCTGGTTCTATGCAGCCTACAACGCGCTCCTGACCAGGCTGCAAACGGTTCCTGTTGTGTATGTGCCTACCACTGCTGTGCCTCACACAGGTAAGAAAAGTTTGTTTTTTCTTATTTTGGCACTTTCTAGTCCTATTTCCCACACACATGCCAGGCTGGCATCCTGGGTTCACAGCACAGTGCAGCTCGGTGAGTTATCACCGCTTTACACACAAACACCTCCAAAATTCACCACTGAGGGGGAACTCCAAGAACAACATGGGGCCTTTGGAGGGGTCTGGAGAACGTCCCCTCCTCTGTGAAGAGCCGGGAACCCTGCAATTCTGAACGCAGCCTCCCTTTGTTTCCTTTTTTGCAGGATATTCCTACCCTGGCAGTTCCCAGCACGAAAGGACTCAGCTGGGGCTCTGGAGCGTGCGGAGGTGAATCCTTACCAGGGAGATCCCCACTGCGAGCAGGGATGGGTTGTTTCCAACCTGAATGAAAGGAATTGTTTAATTCACCCTGTTTTCTGCTGATCTGAGCCTTGGAGGTTAAGTACCCGTGCTCTCCTGACGTTTAACTGCACGGTGAGGGCCGGGCCAGGTTAGCTTTTGGGATTAATGGCAGGCCCACCAGCCACATTCCCTCTCACGTGCTCTGTAACTGCTCATAACCCCTGTTCTTTACCAGTCCCAGTTCAAATTAATGCTCAAGACAGCAAATGCATTAAAAGCAGACCAGTTGGTGTGTATTTTATCCAAAATTTATTGAAGCAAGATGGGCGGGGCTACAGGGACAGCATGACAGTCACATTCCTGGCTGGCCTTCCTGGGCAGTGCGCTCAGGTCACACCTTGGCGTCTCGTTCTGTGGTCACCTCTCCTCCCGGCGAGCTGTGGGGCCATCCATGCGCCGTGTCCCAGCCACCCCAGCTCCCCCCGCTCAGTGCTGCTTTCGCCTGAAGGAGCATCCTGGGGGCAGAGCAGAGCGGTGAGAGCCGGGAGCTTCTGAAACCCCTCAAACCAACACCCACCCTGCGCTTCTTGCCAGAAATTTCTCCATTTCACCACAGAAACACACCTCCCCCCTCCTCTATCACCGAAAAAAAGCCCCGTAAAGTCCAAGCCATTTTTTAACCCAGCGATTAACCGTTCCGTGCCGCCCCCCCGGGGCTCGGCGTCCCCCCCACGCACCTTCTGTGAGCCTCGCCTTGCCGCCGGTGGGCTGGCACAGCACGGTGGAGCAGCCGACACACAGCACGACGGTCTGCGCGTGGCTGAACACCGTGGTGATCTTGTAGCACCCTGCGGGCAGAGCACGGGGAGGGGGGGAGGGAGCGGCGTTAGGGCGCGGGGCGGCACCGGGAGGGAACCGGGCCCCGCGGCCCCCCCCCGCCCCCTCCCCCAGGCGCCTACCGGGGCACTTGACGTCCATGAAGTAGGAGTTGGGGCTCTGCACCAGGCGCTTCTTCTTGTGCTTCCTCTTCTCCTCCTCGGGGGACGGGTGCAGCAGGTCCTTGGCCAGCTGCGGGCGGGAACAGCCGCGCTCAGCCCCGCCGCCACCGGGCCCCGCCGCCCCCCGCCGCCATCTTGCGCCCCCGCCACCGAGGAGATGGCGGCGGCCGCGGCCCCCCCCGGCCCTCCCCGCTCCCCCCCTCCTCCCTCGGCCTTCCCCAGCCCCGCGGAGCCCGGTCCCGGCCCCTCAGCCCGCGGCGGGGCGGCGAGGCCCGGTGCCGGGGGCGCGGCGCACTCACGGGCATGGTGGCGTGCGGGCGGCCGCGGCCGGAAAGGGGCCAAACCGGAAGCGAGCCCCGCTATATCCGCCGCGGGGTTCCCCGCACGGGCGGAAGCGAGGCGCGGCGCCATCTTGGGAAGGGCGCTGGGCAGGCGTGGGGGCGGCCATCTTGGGAAGGGCGAGGCGAGCCTCCCTGCACAAGGGGCGGGGCAGCGGGGCGAGGTGGGCGTGGCTACTGAGAGGGGGCGTGGCCTCGGTTAGCCCCGCCCCTCCGTGCCGGGCCGGGCCCCGTGGCGGGCGGGGGGCAGAGCGGCCCGGCGGGCGGGGGCCATGGCCAAGGCGTACGACCACCTCTACAAACTGCTGCTCATCGGCGACAGCGGCGTGGGCAAGACCTGCCTCATCATCCGCTTCGCCGAGGACAACTTCACCAGCACCTACATCTCCACCATCGGTGCGTCCCCGCCGCCACCGGGCCCCCCGCGCCCCCCCTTACCGGGACCGGGACCCCCTAAAAACCCCCCACCGGGACCGGACCTCCTGCACCCCCCCTTAACGGGACCGGCCCCCCTGGAGCCCCCCCACCGGGACCGGCTTCCCCGGAACCCCCGTACCGGGACCGACCCCCTCTGGAACCCCCCCACCGGGACCGGGCCCCCTGCACCCCCCCTTAACGGGACCGGCCCCCCTAAAAACCCCCAACCGGGACCGGGCCCCCTGGAACCCCCCCACCGGGACCGGGTCCCCTAAAGCCCCCCAACCGGGAACGGCCCCCCTAAACCCCCCCTTAACGGGACCGGCCCCCCTGCACCCCCCGTTACCGGGACCAGCCCCCCTAAAACTCCCCCACCGGGACCGGCCCCCCTGGAACCCCCGTACCGGGACCGGCCCCCCCCGCACCCCCAAAATTTCCCCACCGGGACCGGACCTCCCCCTCCCCCTCCCTCTCCACCCCCCCAACACCGGGACCCCCCCCCCCCGCCCCGCCCCGGCCCCCCCCCGCCGCTCTTTGCCTCGCCCGATCCGGATCAGATCCGGCCCGCGGCGTTTTGCAATCCCGGAGCGGCCCCGGACCCCCCCCCCCCCTCCGGGAGCTGGGAGCGAGGCTGAGCCCCGGGGGGGCCTCCGCGGGGCCTCCGCTGCGGGGAACGGCACCGGGACAGCGGGGAGCTGAGGGGGGCTCCGGGACCCCCCGGGACCGGGTCCCGGCCACCCCCGGGAGCCCGCGGCAGAACCGCTGGGGGGGGGGGCGCTGATGGCGGCCGTGTCCCGGGCCAGAACCCGAGGCCCCCCCCATCTCCTCCTCCTCCTCCTCCTCCTCCTCCTTCTCCTCTTCCTCCCGGCCCTGCCTTCAAAGCCATTTCCTGAGCCGGCGGCAGCTGCCCCGTCCCGCCAGCAACTCCCCAAACTCCATAAAAACTGAATAAAAACTCACCAACTCCATAAACTCACCAATTCATAAAACTCCACCAACTTCCATCAGCTCCGGCTGCCGGCCGCTGGCACCCGCACCCACAAACCGGGCTGAGCACCGGGGGGGCAGCAGCGTGGGCGTCTGGGGGGGCTGGGGGAGGCAGCCCCAGCTGGGGGGGCTCCTGGCAGCCTTCAGGGCTGGGATAACCCCCAGCCGGGCAGCCCCCCCGGTGCTGGGGGCGCTGTGATGCTGTCCCATGGGGAATGCCTCGTCCCAACCCTGGGGGGCTTGGGGGTGCCCCCCCCGCCCACTCCCACCCGGCTTTGCCCCCACCTCCCCCCCCCCCCGGGGCTGTTTGTGGCTGGGCAGCTCCTCGCCCCGCAGCCGGGTCCCCGCTCCCACCGGCCTCCCCTTCCCCTCCCAGGCATCGACTTCAAAATCCGGACGGTGGAAATCGATGGGAAGAAGATCAAGCTGCAGGTCTGGTGAGTTGGGGGGCGCGGGGGCACCCCCCCAGGCCCTCAGCACCGCCAGGACACCCTCACACCCCCCTCTGCTCCCTCGCAGGGACACGGCGGGGCAGGAGCGCTTCAAAACCATCACGACAGCCTATTACCGCGGGGCCGTGGTATGGCGGGGGGGACGTGGGGGGGACCCCGGGGGGCTGGGGCAGCCCCCGGGTGGTGTCGGGTCCCTGCCCCGCTGACCGCGCCGTCCTCGCAGGGCATCATCCTGGTGTACGACATCACGGATGAGAAATCCTTCGAGAACATCCAGAACTGGATGAAGAGCATCAAGGAGGTGGGGGCACGGTGGGGCTGGGGCTGTGAAGGGGGTGGGTGGGTGGGGGGGTGGGTGAAGCTGCCACGTTCTCTATGCCCCCCCCCCCAAAGAATGCATCTGCTGGTGTCGAGCGGCTCCTCATCGGCAACAAGTGCGACATGGAGAGCAAGCGCAAAGTGCAGCGGGACGCCGCCGAGAAGGTAGGGTGGGGGCACGAGCCCCCCCGGCCGTGGGGCAGGGCTGTGGGGCCGTGTCCCCCCTTCCCACGCGGCGTCCCCTCGTCCTCCAGCTGGCCAAGGAGCACGGGATCCGCTTCTTCGAGACCAGTGCCAAGTCCAGCGTGAACGTGGAGGAGGTGAGAGGCACGGGGGGGGCCGCTGCCCCCCATGGTGGGGGTGGTGTCGGGGGGGTCCCCGTGCCAGGGGCAGCCCCCAGCTGACCCCCCCCCTCTCCCCATAGGCCTTCAGCACGCTGGCGCGGGACATCCTGCAGAAATCAACCCGAAAAGCGGTGAGTGGGCTGGGGGTGGGGGGCTGAGCTGGGGGCACCCCCTTCCAGCCCCCCCTGACCCCGTGTCCCCCTCCAACCCCTCCCCATACTCTTGCAGGTCCCGAGCACCACCGCCACGGCCGGCTCGCTGCCGGAGCCCAGCGCCCCGCGGCGGGGCAGCTCCCGGTGCCGGCTGCTGTAGGGCCGCCACCGCCCCGGGGCAGCGCGGGCGCCTCTCCGGGAGCCGGGGGGGGCTGCAGCGGGGGCGACCCCGCACCAGGTGCCATAAACCCGGCCTGTGCCTTGCCCCCGGCTCCGCTCCGTGTCTGGGGGACGGGGACGGGGGGGGGGGAAAGGGGGTAGCGGGAGGGCGGGGGGGGGGACGCGGACACGTGTGGGCGCGCCGGCGGGCCGGGAAGCCCCGCCCCTTGGTGCTAAGCCCCGCCCCCTTTGAGCTAAGCCCCGCCCCCGGATGGAGGCCACGCCCCCTGACGAAAGCCACGCCCCTTCGGGTAACGCCACGCCCCCTTGGCGCCAACCCGCGCTGCTCGGACCGAGGCCACGCCCATCCGCGCTAAGCCACGCCCCCTCGTGCCGAGCCCGCGCCCCTTGGCGCCAAGCCGCATTCCTGGGCTCGAGGCCACGCCCATCGGTTCGAAGCCACGCCCCCTCAGCGCGAAGCCACGGCCCTCGCAGAGCCGCGCCCGAACCCCGCCCTGCGCTGAGGCCACGCCCCCTCAGCCACGAGCCACGCCTCCCTCGGGAGGCCACGCCCCTACATGAGATAAACCCCGCCCCCTTGTGGCCCCGCCCCCTCGGTGGCCCCGCCCCGCTCCCGGCACCCCCCGCGCCCCGCGATGGCGGCTCGGTGCCGGTGCCGGTCCCGGTAGCGCCATGGGCCCGGGGTGGCCGCGGGGCTGGGCGCTGCTGGCGGCGCTGGGAGCGCTGGGGCTCGGCCTGCGGTGAGCGGGGGCTGGGGGGGGGCACCGGAACCGGTACCGGTACCGGGGGGGTCCGGTCAGGCTCCGGGCCCGGCCCTGACGCTCTCCCCGCGCTCTCCCCGCAGGGCGGCGGCGGCGGCGGTGGGCGAGGAGCGGCGATCGGGTGGGTGCGGGGCGGGGCTGGGACCGGCACCGGGACCGGGACCGGGACCCGGGCTTGGGGCTGGAACCGGAGGCTGGGGACCGGGACCAGGGGCTGGGACTGGAACTGGGCCCGGGGGCTGGGGTCCGGGGCTTGGGACCGGGACCGGGGCACGGGGCTGGGACCGGTGGACCGGGACTGGAGACTGGGGCTGGAACCGGGACCAGGGCTGGGGACCGGGACTGGGGGATGGGGCTGGGACCAGAGGACCGGGACCAGGGGCTAGAACCGGGACTGTGACCGGGGGGTGGGGACCGGGGCTTGGGACTGGGACCGGAGGACCGGGACCGGGGAGTGGAGATGAGGCTGGGGCTGGAACTGGGACTGGGGCTTGGGACCAGGGCCAGGACCAGGGGCTGGGGACCAGGGCTCAGGGCCGGGACCAGAGGACTGGGACCAGGACTGGAACCGGGGCTGGGGACCGGGACCGGTCCCGGTTCCCGACCCCTGCTCAGCGCCCACACCGTGCCCGCAGCGAGCTCCACACCAAGCACGCCGTGCTGGCAGCTGGAGGACTTCGTGGTGGCGCAGGAGTGCGGCCGCTGCTCCAGCTTCCAGGCGGTGAGTGACCCCCGAGGGGCTGCCCCCCCCCCCCCCCCCGGTACCGGTACCGGCACCGTCCCCATCCCCGTGCCCCCTGCCCTGGCCTCACGGCTGCCTCGCCCCGACCCCTCTCTCTTGCAGAAGACGGTCCCGGAGTGCGGCCCCACCGGCTTCGTGGAGCGCATCAGCTGCGCCGCCTCCAAGCGGGACGAGTTCAAGAGGTGGGCGAGGGGCCGGGGGGACATGGACGGGGCCGCGTTGGGGCCGTTCCCCCCCCTCTCCTCCTCCTTTTATTTTCTCCTTCTTCTCCCCCTCCCCGCAGCTGCCGCTCGGCGGTGCTGGAGGCTCACGTCTTCTGGAGGTTCGTGGGCACCATGATGTGCGTGGCAGCCGTGTTCGCGGTGCTGGTGGTGTGCCGGCAGCGCGTGCTGGACAGGAAGGCGCTGGAGAAGGTCCGCAAGCAAATCGAGTCCATCTAGCGCCCGCGGGGCACCAGGGCACGGCAGGCGGCACCCGCACCAAGGGGACTCGGCTCCGTTCCCAAAAGCAGGAGGAAGAGGAGGAGGAGGAGGAAGGAGCACCCGCGGCCCCCCCGCCCCGCTCTGCCGTGCCCCCGTGGATGCTGCGGGTGCCCCGTGGGGTCCCGGTGGCGATTTGGGCTGTGCGGGGAGCCTGGTGCCCTGGGGGTGTGCAATAAAGCCCGGTCGTTATCACCCTGGTGTTTGTCTTCCTGGGTCTGGGCCGTGCCTCCCGGTTGTGCCCCCCTGCCCCCGGGGGTGCCCCCTTCCTCGCCGAGCCCCCCCCCCAGCCACGTTTGGGTGCAGAGCGGGCGTGGGTTTATTCACCAGAAGCCGCCTGCGAGCACGGAGCTCCCCTCCCTGCGCTGTGCATGGGGGGCACCCAGAGCCCCTGCCTGGGGTATGGTGGGGGGGGGGGCCCAACTGCCCCCCCCCGGTCCCAGGGTGGCTCCCAGCCCCCCGAGCGGGGCCGTTCCCCGCTGGCTGTCACATCTCGTCCCCGTGCGCCTGTTTTGCTGCCACCGCTGCGTCCCGCGGCCACGGCTGAGCCCTCGGATCCCCTGGGGAGCCCGGCCTGAGGAGTTGGTGCCTGGCTCCGTGACCGGGGGGGGGCAGCCTGTCCTCCTGCCCCCCCTTGGCACCGTTCTCCGCTGCCACCCCCGGCTCTTCCAGCTGCCACCACGTCCCCGGGGCTTCTCCAGCCGGTGCCGGTGGCTCCGTGCGGGTCAGGATGTGCCTGGAGATCACTGCGGGGACGGGGAGCACCGGGCAGGGCTGGGGGGCAGCTGCTGCCGCCCCCCCCCGGGATCCCAGCAGCCCCCCCCAGCTCCCCATTACCTCCTGTGGGCTGGGGGGGGTCCCGGCGGCCCCCCCGGCCCCAGCAGAAGGGGCTGTAGCTGGGGAAGAGGATGAGCACCAGGGAGAAGAGCAGGATCTAGGGGGGGGGGGAGGACACAGGAGTGGGGTTACAGCACTGGGAGGTGTGCGGGGGGGGGGGCACCCGTGGGTGCGCTGCCCCCGGGGGGGGCTGAGCCCCTTTTTTGGTGGGGGGGGGGTATGTGTGTGGGTACCAGGACGCAGGTGCTGGTCTGGGCGGCTTTGTTGGACGTCTGCTTGATGAGAGCCTGCAGCGCCTGCAGCTGGCTCAGCAGGGACCTGGGGGGGGGGCGAGGTGGGGGGGGGCAAATGGGGGGGGGTCCAGGCGTTGCCCTGCACCCCCCCGGGGGTCCCCATCGCTCACCCGTTGCGCTGCTCCAGCTCCTGAACCTTCCTGTGCAGCTCCTGGTTCTGTGCCGAGCACGAGGCCGCCCTGCCCAGGGGAGGGGTGGGGGTGCTGAAGGGGCCCCCCCCAGAGGAAGGAGGGGGTGGGGGGCACCCTGGGGGGGGGTCCCTGCCGGCTCCCACCTGCTCTCCAGCCCGTCCAGGTATTCCTTCCTCCTGCGGCGGCTGTCCTGCGCCGACTGCTTGTTGCGGATTTTCCTCCGCACCTTCTTCAGGACGCGCTCCTCAGCCTGCTGCGGCCGGGGGGGGGTGAGCTGGGACCCCCACCTTGCCCCCCCCCATCAACTCGGGACCCCCCCTCTCCCAAACCCACCTTGGTGAGGGGCAGGGAGCCGGGCAGCGTCACCCCCTCCTGCGCCAGCAGCCGCTGCTCCTCCTCCGACAGCAGCAGGACCGGGGGCTGCGGGGAGAAATGGGGGGGGCGAGGGGGGGGAATTGGGGTGCACAGTGCTGGGGGGGGGGCAGCAGAGCCGGACTCACCGTGGGGGGGGGCAGGGTGGGCAGCGCGGTGATGATGCAGGACTCGGGGGGCAGCAGCGCGGGGGGCAGCCAGTCTGGGGGGGGGGGTGGGGGGGTGATGCTCTGCCCTGCGGGATGCGGCCCCCCCCGGGCTGAGCACCCCCCCCAGGATAAGCCCCCCCCAGCCCCACTGACCCAGCTGGATGGTGACCCCGCCGTGTGCGGGGGTCCCGGCTGGTGCAGACCACCTCGTAGACGGTGTTGGTGGTGGGGGGGGGCTCCTCCGGCTGCTTCCCCCCAGTCCCCCGGGGGGGGGTCCTGGGGGGTCTGGGGGGGCCGCACACCTCGTCCGGGGCCACGGCCGGGCCCAGCGGCTCCTCGGGCTGGGTCCTGTCCTGCGGCCGGGGGGGGGACACGGTGGGGACCGCGGGGGTGGCACCTCCCGGTGTGCCCCCCCCCCAAACCCCAGCCACACTCACGGTGTCCGGGAGGGGCCCCCAGCCCCCAAAGGGGGGCAGGAAGGGGTCGGCCCCCAGGCACAGCTCGTCCGGATCCATCGGGGGGGGCTCGGGGGGGTCCGTCCCGGTCCGTCTGTCCCGTCCGTCCCGGTCCCGTCCCGCCCCCTCCAGGATCTCGGATCCTGGCCGAGCCCCTCCCAGCCCCTCCCCAACCGGCGGCGGGGCCGCGCCCCCCTCCCGCTACCGGGGGCTCGGGGCTGGCTGCGGGGCAGCGGCCGCCGCCGGTGTCCGCACCGGGACCCCCGGGATCCCCCCCGGGGTCCCCCTCGGATCCATCCCGGAGCCCCCAAGGACCGGGCAGAACCGAGCCCCGCTCACCGGCCCGGTGCGCTCCGTCCTGCCCGGTCCCGGTGCCGGTAGGGGTCCCCGTAGGGGTCCCGGTCCAGGTCGGGGGCCCGATCCCGGTCCCGGTCCCGGAACTGGTCGGGGTCCTGA